ATCTGAATCTCTGGGGGCAGGGCTCTGAAATCTCTCTCTCTCGCTTACTTTTTTGAAGTTTCCCACATGAGGGTGATGCACAGTGAAGTCTGAGAACCTAAGGCAAGAAGTCAACAGTGCATTTAATGAAGAGGTTGAAGTAAAGGTGTAGGGGGATTTTAATGGAGTAAGCCCTAGTCACTAGAGAAATGCAGAACATTGGGGTCGGGGTGTACAGGAGGTGACAGATGACTTCTCTTTCTTTAAAATGTAGTGGGGGGGCTTCCCTGGTGGCGCAGTGGTTGAGAGTCCGCCTGCCGATGCAGGGGACACGGGTTCGTGCCCCAGTCCGGGAGGATCTCACATGCCACGGAGCGGCTGGGCCCTTGAGCCATGGCCGCTGAGCCTGCGCGTCCGGAGCCTGTGCTCCGCAACGGGAGAGGCCACAACAGTGAGAGGCCCGCATACCGCAAAACAAAAACAAAAAAAATGTAGTGGGATGGAGAAAGATGTCAGGATGAGAGATTCTGGAGAGATTGGCTGGCCCCTGGAGTTACAGCCAGAACCATGAGCAGGTAGAGGGTCCCAGTGCCAAACACCATTTGTAATCTGTGGTCTAGTCAGCGATTTGTGGCCTTCGTTCTAGGTTCCAATAGAATATGGTTGATACGCTTAGAAAGTGGTACTCGTTTGTTCTTCTGCTCTCTGCAAATATCAACCCAGAGGTGATCAGGCCGCGTCTTATGAGCCCAAGATTCAGGTTAGGATGAGTCTTAATAAAAACAACCACTGCTCACAGAATTTTCTGGGGGAGATACAGACATTTTAGTATTCCTTAAAAAAAAAAAGAAAAAAGTTCTCAGCTAGTCTCCATTCAGTCAATAACCATTTACTGAAGACTAACGGCTCAACCCTATTGAGGTTTTCTTTTAATGTTACTGAGTAATAAATAGTGTAGCTATTAAGAGCTTAGGTTCTGTAGACACAATTGAGACCTAGGTTCAAATCCTGGCTCTGACACCTGCCAGCTGTGTAATCTTGGATATGTGGTTTAACTTCACTGAGTCTTACTTTCCTCATCTGTAAAACAATAATAATACAATAATAATGCCTGCCTTATAAGATTGTGGTGGAGATTAAACGAGATAACGCTAGAAGCACTTTGCACATGGTGAATATTCCGTAGATGATAGTGATTACATGTGCAGACATAAGCCAGGTGCTAGGGAATGTGAGAACGAATAAGATACAGTCTCTGCTGTCAAATATCTCAGATTTTAGCTAGAGAGATAGGTATGTAAAGAAGAAATGACAATTCAGTGTTAATAAGGGCCAAACTCAGAGTACACACTGGGTAGCTCTCTGGGAGCATGAAGAGAAGGGCATTCAACTTTGTCTGCAGAGGGAAGACAGGAGAAGACTTGCCAAAGGAGAGGAAACACAAAAGTGAGTCTTCAAGAAAAAGGACTGGGGCTTCCCTGGTGGCGCAGTGGTTGAGAGTCCGCCTGCCGATGCAGAGGACACGGGTTCATGCCCCGGTCCGGGAAGATCCCACATGCCGCGGAGCGGCTGGGCCCGTGAGCCATGGCCGCTGAGCCTGCGCGTCCGGAGCCTGTGCTCCGCAACGGGAGTGGCCACAACAGTGAGAGGCCCGCGTACCGCAAAAAAAAAGAGGACTAATGGGCGCAGATGTGAGGCGTTGAGAAGTAAGACTTCCCAGGCCTCCGTGTAGCATGCGTAAAAGCTTGGCAGTGAGAGAAAAGCTTGGCAGTTGAGGGAGCATGAAATGGGTATGGAACAGCGGGGACCATAGCGAGAATAGACAGTAGAGAGGTACGCTGGGGGCGGATTAAGCAGGCCCTTGGCTAGCACGCTAAGGAGCATGAACTCTGAACTTCTGGGTAATGGGGAGCCATTGAAGGATCTTACAGGGAGGAATGCGGGCAGATATATATATTTCAAAAGATTACTCCGGCCACAGAGTAATGAATTGCAGGGGGCAAAATTGGAGGTAGTAAGACCAGGTGAAAAATGCCGGTGCCTTGGACTAAGATGATGGTTTGTGGAGATGAAAGGAAGAAGACGCATCCAAAGTGAGTTTGGGAAATAGAACGCGATGACTGATTAAGGTAGAATTAAAGTAGGAGTCAAAGAAGCTCCCAAATTTATGATTTGGGCAGTTGGGCCAGGGCTGAAATAACCAAAAGCCAGAGTAAGGCATGTGCCTAAGGCCCAGCACGTCGGGGCACCCAAAATGTGAAAACATTTTGATTTGGGATCTAGAGTAGTTTTTTAAAAGACTTAAGTTAATCATCATAGGAACATCAGAACTGTTGGGGCTTCCTTCCCTTTTTATGCTGTAGTATTGCTTTTATTTGAGAGAGGAGGTCGTAATCTTTTCATTGCTTAGAGCCTCCCAAAGAGGAGGGGTCCAAGGCCTTAATCCTTCTCTGATCTGGGTGGTAAGTGCTTATCATTTCACAGAGAACATGGACACTGAAGGAGGAGCGAGTTTGAGCTTCCTGCCTCTGTTACGCTTTGTCCTGCGTGAAGAGAATGGCATAATTAGGCTGGTAAGGGACTGGCAACCAGATGGCCTTAGGGAGACCCCATTAGGCTGATTCACATAGCTCAGCTGAAGTGGAGTGTTTACATCTAAGTCAACAGGCTTCAATTGTGCAGCCATTGCTAATGGAGAAGTAGGGAGAGCCTGTTTGCTGGCAAGAGAGGTCATGGATGCAAGTTGATACAATGATTAGAGATGGAGACTAAGCTAGGGGTTCTTAACCTAGAGCCCAGGGGAATTTTGAACCTCTGAAGTTATATGCAAAATTGTGTATATGTGTGTATAGTGCAATTTTATAGACAGAAGTACCACAGCTTTCTTCAGATTTTTCAGAGTGATCTTTGACACCAAAAAGGCCACCAACCACCAGAGTACATTTACTATGAAGTGAATAAAGCTGCTTATTCAGAGTTTCTCACTTGCCTGGGACTCTTCCGAGGCTCTAGAAGCAGCCCTAGCAATTTTGTATTGTTTTTACCTAAAGGGAGCGTTCCTCTCAAATTACATAAAGTCTCTGGTCCCACAAAATCTGTGTCTACCCCCTGCCAACCGCAGATTAGGGAATTACCCAACATGAGTTAGTATCTGGGAGTGAATGCCATCCAAGAGAAATGAATGCCAAAGACTGCACCAGGAAAGGCAGAAGAAAGGATGCCCATCAAATGAAGAATGGTCACTGAGGGAGGAGGAGAATCAGACCACATTGTCAAGGAAGTATAAAGAGCGGCGGTTAGCCATGTCCAACATGGATGGGAGATCAGGAAAGAGGAAAATAAGAAAACGATTACAGAAGTGGCTGGGACGTCTTCAGTGAAGTGGCAAGAACAGAAAGCTGATTGTTCTGTTTGCCTTTCTGGATAAGTAAAAGTGGTAGGTGAACAAGTATAAAAGGTAGCTACAGTCCAGAAACATGCAGGGGAAGTAGAAGTACCTACCCAAAACTCTAATGTTCAGTTAAAATGATAGGCAATAAAGTAGGCTCACTGTAAATGTGGAATCCATGCTGAACTGAAGTTAGGTGGCACATATATACCTTTCAAAATGAGTCCTAAATGTGTTCCATGTGTTCCATGGCCAGGCAAAGACTTTGAGTGACCCTTGTCCCCCCCCCCCCCCAACCCCAACCTTTCTTTCTTAATCCTGTATCTTAATCCTCTTACTACTGGAGTTTCCATATTTCTGTCCCATATCTCTGTCCTCTGGCTGGCGGATATGGAACAGTGAGAGAGAGTAGAAAGTGAAAAGAAGCCATACGAATGACATTTGAACATGAAATGTTTTGAATTTAAAATTTGTCCTGGGTAACCCCCCAAACCAGTGATCCATTACGGTTAGTTAAATGTTGTCTGAAATTGAGGCCAAGGAAACATCTATTTGAACCAGAATGTTCTAAATTTGCCACCCTGGCAACTCTAAAGTTGATTGGTTTCAATGGGGCAAAACTGGTTCATGCTGACTTATGCAGTATTAGGGTGAGTATTATTTTTTTGACTGAAATGCAGCCATATCAGAGATACATACTCAAAGTTGCTGCTCTATTATGGAAGCTAGGAAATGCCATTTTACAATGCTTCCATAATAACTTCCTCCTGTGATCTCTTTTGAGATAGACTAATTTCATTACAGTTCCCAACTTAATTTCTTCAGTGATTATACCTTTAAAAGCTTTTGATTTATTAACTATTGATGTATTTCTTCATAATTGTGTCACTATGAATAATCTGTTACTTGAGAACAATGATTTCGAATGGCTACTATGACAAAATTTATAGGGACATGGAAAAATAGCTACGAACTAAAATGACGAAACCAAGGAATTGGTTTGAGGTTTCTAAGAACTCAATAAAATTAATTCAGTAAAAAGCAACAATTTGTGTTTTGTTTTTTACTAGCAAAGTTATTGCTTTGCAGTAGTATTCTCATTGAAAGAAGACCAAGAACCTATTAAGCTACTCTTCATAATGTAAACGTGTAAATTAAAGTTCTAGTTACTTGATATTTAGCTATGGTTTAAAATAGAAACAATTCACAACACTTTATAGATAGCTTAAGCACTTTTCTATTCTTTCTTTCTAATAGTAAGGCTTAGCTTGACTTGAGTCTAATGAATTTCTTCTATAGTATGTGGAATTTGATCCAACAAGACCAGTTAAACACAATATACCTAGATACCTGCCGATTACATCATTAGACTGGTAAAGGACATAAATCAGTTTGACTGCAAGTTTTGTTTGAATTGGATTTGGAAATTTGTAAATTATTTGGACATAGCATTTTGTCAAACTCTCAGCCATTTATTTAAATAAAATTATAAATTCTGGAGTTAAATATTGTTATAATTGTGTTGGACTCAATTGTCTTTCAACTTTGTAATTATTTTGATGAACCTAATTGTACAACTTATGGATGCCAAAACTGTATCCCAAATAAATACATGTTAACATTTTGCCTTTAGCCAATAAGAAGAAAGAGAAAGAACGCCCAGAGATCTCTCTTCCTTCAGACTTTGAACATACGATTCATGTGGGGTTTGATGCAGTCACCGGGGAATTCACTGTAAGTAAGCTCCTTATTTTTTTTTTTTTGTAAGGCATGAAAAGATTCCTTTGTGAAAATAGGTTTGAAGGAAGAATTGCCACGTCCCAAAATGTCAGACTTGATGTCTTTGGTGATTTCAAGGAAGATGGACTTTGCCTAGACAATCACAGATGGAACTAGAGAGTGGCAAGAGTATTGGCAAAATTATTTTGTCCATCTTAACAGAAATGTCTGATCGCGGTTAGCCTTCAACGTGATTGAAAATGCTAATTTACCATGGCACAGGAGATGTAGTCCAGATAGACTCAGCTTGAGCCTGTGCTTTAGCACTTGAAGTGAATCAGAGAACCATTGACTCAACTTGGCCAGTGAAGATAGTCTATCTGAATAATTCAGGCTTTACAATGGAACCTGGATTACCCAGATAAGTTAACCACACTAACCAAAAATCTCTGTAAAATTGACCTTTTCTTCTCTTTGATTTCAAGAACATAGCTTATTTTTAGGCTTATTTACAGGTATATTTTGTAGACATTCAAAACAACAGACCCCATGTTTCAGGAAGAAATATTGATGGTTGTATCATATGCTTTAGTGGTTATACGCTTACTTTGTATTTGTATATATGTATATATATATATATATATATACATATATACAAATATAATATATATACATAATGCACAATAAATACCAGTAAGAATTCTCCAGAAAGACTATAGCTATAGATCCAGTCTTTCTTTGGATATTTTTAGTGCTCAAATAGCACACGATCTCAGATCTATGATATTTTATACCTTTTTTTTTTTTAAAGATCTGGCATCTTTCTTTTAGATGGATGAAGGAAAAGATGTGGCTAGAAACATGTCCTCAGGAAGATTAACTACTTTTTTATACTAGTAAGGACCTCAATCAAAATGTGCATTCTGAGATAATGAGTAATTTTGAATGCATTCTGGAAAAAAATTCTTTGATAGAACCATTACCGTTAATTCTTGGATTCTTAAACCAGAGAGAAATTTAGGTATTAAATAATTAAATTTCCTATTTCATAACATGATGGTTAGTGAGTAGACTGTGTCATAAGATTAAATTTTTAAAAAGAAGGAACAAATTAATTTGATTTGGAGAATCAAACCATGTTTCTGAACTGACAAATTACCTTCTTTTTTCAATTCCGGAAGTAAGCAGTGTGAGAATGAAATGGAAACTGACTAAACATCTTAGCCTTGTAAAGTGATGTGAGCTGATTGTATGTTCTCAGTAGCAAGCAGAAGAGAACGTTAAGAAGTGCTGACATTGATAAAGTTGAGATACTGGTTTAGCCAATTTCATCATTGGAGTCAGAGATATTATTCAAATGGCCTTGAGTTTGAGCCCAGCCTCTGTTCTTTGCTGTATTTGAGAATATTCTGTTAGCTACACTTAGAAAATATAACCTCACTGTCACCACTACCACCACCATCATCACCACCCAAAACAAAAAATATTTATATATATTTTTATAATCTGAACAAGTTTAGATTTTTAAAAAATCATAAACAAAGAGATGACTATTTTTTCTGATGTTTGAAACAGTAAAAGCACTGAATCATTATAAGTTTTATCTTAAAAATCTTCCCTTTTTTATTTCAAGAACTGTCTTTCCTGTTTTGACCTTTTTGTTTTCCATGTGCTTTTCTTCTGTTTAATCTTTTCTTGTTTTATTGTTGTCATTCCATATTTCTCTGTTCTTTTATTCTTCCTTTTTGTTTTCTGATGTGAAAATTTTCCCCTCCACTATTTTCATGTGATACTCTGGTTCCTTTCCAATTTTTAAATTTTTTCCACTCTTTCCTACTTGCTTGACATCTTCTGATAGAATTTCTCTATCTTTAGCTTTTCCTTTGTTCTTTATGGGTTCTGAATGGAAATGAAGGAAAGTGAATCACCATCATCTTGCTGACTGGAGACCATCCATTTTCACTTTGCTGTCAGTTAGAACCCCAAGAATCAACCAGAGAGGGGTGGGGTGGGATGTGTGATGGGCAATCTTTCCAATTGTGAAAAACATTTTGATGCAACTGAACCAAACCAAACAAGAACCTTTCCCCTCCTCCTAAAAACCTAATATAAAATAAAGTGTTTGGATGCAATTGTTAGAAATCCACTGAATATATAGATGAGACGCAGGCTAAATTTGGAAATCTGATGTACTTTATTGTCGCTGTGATAATCTTTCATAACTATTTGTCCCCACGTTGTTTTTTAAAGATACCAAATTCTGCCTTTTTTTTAACTATCTTAACCTATGATTTATATTTACTAACTTTAAAAATACCAAATGATAATAAGCTTTTAAAAGTCATTTTATTGATAGGATTTAGAATGGGATCTTAATCGCCCCAGTACCACTAATTGGTTGTGTGTGTGTGTGTGTGTGTGTGTGTGTGTGTATGCGTGTGTTCACGTGGAGGGGGAGGGACATATTACTAAATTTGATCATTACAGTTGTTGAGGTTGAATTTTGAGCAATTTGTTGAACTGTCGAGCCCAGTTGTCTCACAAGGGCCTGTTATTTGGAATATTTGGACACTGGTTTGGTGTATTGCTTGGTGTTTACCCTTTGGCTAATTGGCCCATGCAACCTTGTACACTTGGTCACACACTTGGACCCTGAGGTTAAAATTAGGTTGGGAGGTGAGATTTGGGGTATGAAACTACTCTAAGTCCTTACCCTTCATATTACCATTTTTGTCCCAAATACTTCAGAACTCCCCCTTCCAGACCTCTAGACCTGTGACGGTCGCTTCAAGTCAATCAGAGGGAAAAATGGTATGAGTGATATACATTATCATTTCTTATGATAAGATAAATGCTTGGCCTGTTGTATCATGCTGCCATTCTCCTGGGCTACACTGGACAATCCCCAGCTTGACGTACATCTAGCTGTTATTACATACATGGTCAGGCTTCTGATGCTCACACTTCTAGGTCTCCATTAGCTATCTGACTTTTGGGGTTTGTACCTCAATTTGGAGTAATGAGTTATGGCTTTCTGATTACATGCCTTCATGGCATACATTCAAATTTAAGTGTCAGGTTTCATTGATGAACTGGTTTATCTCAACTTAAAAAAAGAAAACAATTATGTCAGCAGTGTAGTCACGTGGTAAGTATAGTTGTCTGGAGGATCTTTTGCAACTGACAGCAGTTTTTCCTGCTGTCTAGTGATCACAAGACTATTATCACAAAAGTTTAGAAGTGCCATGAGTATGTATAATAACTGCAAATATTCTAATGATTATGGTAACGATCATGCCAGTGATGTCTGCTCTGGTGGTTATGTGCAATGCCTACCTGGTTTTGTAACACTTAATAACTCCTTTGGCCATTACAGTATTAACCAAACGCTATTAATTGCACTTAGAATCAGAACTGGGATCATGCATGGGCTCCTGAGTTCAAATTTTTGGCTTAAGGCTTTAGCATCAAATTGCGTGATGAATGCATGTAAAAGTGTCCTTTCACTGTGCTTGGAGTAACCCCAAATGCCAGGAATCAAAGACCTGTAACCCAAATCAAATCAGTTGGGTAAAAGCATGTTTCTGTAGCATTGGAAATATCATCTTTATTTAGACAAAGCTGTTACCTTATATCTGATCTTATTTTGTGGGAAGTGGGACTTTAGAACTGCGGCATTAAAATGGAGATTATTCAGAATATGGTTTGAAACGAAATGGTTTCCCTTTCCCTGGCCTAAATGTCTAAGAAATTCAAACATAGAGTCTGGCTGTGTGGGAAATCCTTAATCTAGTTTTCTCTAAGCCAGCCACGACTTTAGCTCCAAAATACAGAAGAATCACCTTAATGAGAACAGGTTGAATTCAGCATCACCATATACCTCTTCTTTGAATTTTAGCCATACAGACACTTCCAATGTGAAATTGAAAATGGTTCACCAGAATTGGGAACTGAAATTTGTAAGTTCATCACATGGCCATTGGCTACCTGTGATCACCCAGTCGTAAAAACAACTTACAAATTGTCGTTGAAGCTTTTCATGATGCCATCCTTCTTCCCTCCAAATTCATGTTTCTGCCTTTTAGTAATTTCTCCAGTCATTTAATGGTAATCCTTATTATTGCATATTTATGGAGGAAGCATCTGGCCAAAAGTGGAACTATGCATCCAAACTTTGGAACATCGTTGTTTTCTCTGTTTTCTTAAACCTGTTGTCCTGTAGCCTGTCCTGCCCCTGATTTAGTTAATACCTCCCTATTTTCATAACCGCCCCACTTTAGAAGGGATTAACCCCTCCCCATTCAGACCCATTGGTTTCATCTCCTCCCACCTTCTAAGTTGTCCCACATTCTGTTTTAACTTTCTTTTCTTTCTTTATTTACGTCCATTACAGCCAGATCTCTATGGCTCACAGATGTGCCCAGGGAAGCTCCCAGAGGTGCGTCACAGGCCCAAAAGAAGCTTGCATCAAAGTGCTTCTTTGAGATGTCATAGCACTGCAGCAGCAGGTTCATGTGTGTGCAGTAGAGTTGTTGCTTGGCTTATCTCACTTTTTTGTTGTCATTCCCAAACTCTGGAGGCCCACGTCACACATTGTTTTGCCGAGACTTCATAGGACAAAGCCACGTAAATTGTGTCTAGATGCACTTCAGGAAGAGTGTGTCTGTTTCTCGCTCCAAGTTCTCTTGGAGGTTGGTTAATTATGAAATGGGGACATCTGTAGGCCGAACGTGTAGGAAAGAGTGCTGAACACTCAATACAAAGCTAACCTCTCTGTGTAATTTTTGCAATTCTCCTTGGTTAGATTGCCAAACACTCCCTCCTCTCTGCTCTAAACGCTTCAGATTATTGCAAATTTTCAGAAGGCTTTGGCATGGTTGCCACTGTCCCCAGGTTCTATGCGGCCAATGAACGAAGTGGGGAGGAGGGGATGGGGGGAGGAGAGGAGAAAGCTGCAGGGAAAATGTTACTATTTAGCACCCCTGTGGTTATTGCTCGTCCATGATTCTATTTTTGTTCTCCTCTCAAGCCCCCTTTATATTAAAGCTCTAGACCCCCAAAAAAATTACATTTGATAACCACAGAGTATGAACTGACCAAGGGTGAGGCTTTACTTTTATTCTAAAAGATATTCTGATTGCAACATGCCCAGAAACAGCTTCTGTTATTCCAGTCATATAAAATCTATTGATCTGCACTATACTATGCTGTGCACTAATTTAGAGAAGTCTTGCTATGTCTGCCCTGAGTCGCCAGAAAAAATAAGCTAAGCCGTAAACATCATTTCATGGATGAGCAGAGTTAATATGGAGGTGATTTTCATGCGCTTTTTTTTTTCTATCACAGTCATACTCCCACCCACCCTTTTTAAGTTGGATCTTAGTTTTACCTATGTGTTTTAATTAGAGAAGAGAATGATTGCATTATTAAGTTACTAACTTTAAATCTAGAGTGTAACTTCAGTTTCCCAAGTGTAATCCTACAGGTAGCATGGGCTTCTTGGTGAAGAACTTTACTGGAACATGAAAATGCAGCTGCCGAATGTTCTGAGCTTCCATTCTTTCCCTTTGGTTGTCCACAGGGAATTCCTGAGCAATGGGCACGATTACTCCAAACCTCCAACATAACAAAACTGGAACAGAAGAAGAACCCCCAAGCCGTTCTAGACGTTCTCAAATTCTATGATTCCAAAGAAACAGTCAACAACCAGAAGTACATGAGCTTTACGTCCGGAGGTAAGAGTAAATCTAGGATATCAAAAAGTGAAGAAGTGGGACTTCCCTGGCGGTCCAGTGGTTAGGACTCTGCGCTTCCATGGCAGGGGGCCTGGGTTTGATCCCTGGTCGGGAACCAAGATCCCAAAAGCTGTGCGGGGCAGCCAAAAAGAAAAGGGAAGAAGTAATTCCAATCTCGGAACCTCAGGATTAGAACGGAATGCCTGGAGGGTATTCGAAGCCAGTTCAAGTTCCTTTCTTGAATGACTTCAACATAAATCAACCAAAAGATGAGTTGCAAGTTGAAGTTGATGTTAGGAGATTTCCAGTACTTGGGTGATTTTATAACTCAAATAAGGAAATTGTTCAGTGAAGCAGTAGTTGTCAGTTTGAATCAGCAATCACGATTGTTGTTTTGTCTCTTCACTGGCATGAAGACACTGAGTCACTTAGGATCAGGCCTTGTCATGCGTTTAGGAAGTCAGAGGTGTCTGGATCAAACCCTGGTCTCTTGAAATTTATTTTATCCCTTAGATTCACTGAATTGCATGCACCATGGTGACACAGCACAAATTTTGTGGTTGCTGGGTTATTTTGATCTGACCGCAAAATCAGACTTAAAAAAAGAAATCATGTCTTGGTATTTATAAGAGATTGACATGGCCACATTCCTGCCATATCTCGACTTCATTTGCTAGTCTGTAGACCCAGCTTTTGTTTGAAGGTTTGATGTCCAAATTTGCACTGTAAGCAACTGAAAAAATATACCAAGCAATTATTTTGCATTGTGAAAATGATGATCTGGGTTTTGTCTCTAAAACAATTTATTATTTTACATCTAAAAAAAGAAGAGGGGGCTTCCCTGGAGGTGCAGTGGTTGAGAGTCTGCCTGCCGATGCAGGGGACGCGGGTTCGTGCCCCGGTCCGGGAAGATCCCACATGCCGCGGAGCGGCTGGGCCCGTGAGCCATGGCCGCTGAGCCTGCGCGTCTGGAGCCTGTGCTCCGCAACGGGAGAGGCCCCAACAGTGAGAGGCCCGCGTACCGGAAAAAAAAAAAAAAAAGAAAGAAGAGAATAGTATCATTAGTGCTCCAGCTATAAAGAGCCCCTACCTCTTGGCATTGGTTTTAGTACAGGGCACATTTTCAGAATTTGTTCTTTATTCCACGTTGCCACTGCTTTTTTTTTTTTTTTTTTTCTCGGTACGCGGGCCTCTCACTGTTGGGGCCTCTCCCGTTGCGGAGCACAGGCTCCGGACGCGCAGGCTCAGCGGCCATGGCTCACGGGCCCAGCCGCTCCGCGGCATGTGGGATCTTCCCGGACCGGGGCACGAACCCGCGTCCCCTGCATCGGCAGGCGGACTCTCAACCACTGTGCCACCAGGGAAGCCCTGCCACTGCTTTTTAACCCTTTTGTTTTTATGTGTCAAATTCTCTCAGTTTATAAAGATGAAATCCTGAAAAAACTATGTTAGAACTCGACAGTATCTGAGTTATTGCTCTATTCTGAAACTCACCATATGTTTTCTTTATGCTCTCGTGTTGAGGCTAACTAATAGCCTAGGAGGGGAAGGGGAAAGGAAGGAAGGGTGGAAGGGAGGAAGGGAAATGAGGGAGGGAGGAGGAGAGGGAAGGAGGAAGTCAAGGAGAAATTCTGGATATAGACGTGTGAAATCATACCAGTCAGGAGTAGGTTATCTTAACACTCCTCAGTATAGATGAGGTTCACTGGAGGCCTTCATTAAGATCTATAAAATGGGGTGGCGAGAATATGGTGATGATGAAAGGGTGTGAGCTATTTTAAGAAAAACTAGTCATTTGTCGTAGTATCTATTTAATACTGAATCAGAAAATTTCCTTCTGGTCAAACACATGCAGTTTTTTTAAGCATGGTCTCTAAATGAGGCAGTCTTTATGAAACAAAGGTAACATCTTTATCTTCACTTTTCAGATAAAAGCGCACATGGATATATAGCAGCCCATCCTTCGGTAAGTGAAAAATTGAAAACAGTTTTGTATGATCCGTGTTTCCAGTGGTCCAACAGAATACAATTGTGCAGATCCTGTTTTTAGATACACATAGAATCCTTTAAAAATATTTCAAAGGTGTAATTTAGATACATAAAATTCACCCATTTTTAAGTGTACAGTTTGATGAGTTTTAGTAAATTTATACACCTGTGCTACCATCACCACAATCTAGTTTTAGAACACTTTCATCACCCCAGTAAGATCTCCCAGGTCTGCCTAGAGTTAACCCCCATCCACCGCACCCTAGCCCTAGGCTATCACTAATCTGCTTTTATAGATTTGTCTTTCTGGACATTTCAAATGTAAATGAAATAATACAGTATATGTCCTTTGGGGATTGGCTTTTCTCTCAGCATAATGCTCTTAGGATTCATCCAAGTTGTTGTATTGTATCAATAGTTTGTTCCTTTTTATTGCTAAGTAGTATTCCAGGGTATGGCTATACTGCTGTTTAACAATTTACCCACTGAAGGGTTTCTAGACTGTTTACAGTTTGGGGCGTTTATAAATAAAGCTACTATGAAAATTCATGCATAAGTCTTTACATAGACAAATGTTTCTATTTCTTTTACATATAGAATCTTGAAAATAATCATCATAATGATAGAAACTTCTCTTTACTGAACAAATGTGCCAGGCACTAGGCTAATAATCCTTTGTATTCACTTAACCATTCCTACAACCCAATTAGGCAAGTCTTATCATTGTCTCCATTTTACAGATGAGGTTCAGAGAGGTGAAATAACTTGTCTAAGGTCATACCACTACATCTTTCGGTGTCACCTGTTCCCACAAAGTGAGACTTTGCCCAAAGTCACATAGATAGTTTTATCAGAGAAGAGACTAGAAAATAAGCAACCTAGCTCAAGGGCCTTGGAAGTGCTCTAGTATCTGAAAGAATACCCTTACACAGAAAACAGTCTTAGACAAGGCTTCCCTTTACATGATTTTCATTTTGATATCCTGATAGAAATTATCTCCTGCCCCATTTGCTTCCTTTGGAGTGAAATAATTAGCATTAGTGAAAGTTTCCTCGCCGCTTATTCAGAGTCATGGATAGTCAAGCTGATTCTTCCTTTTATAGAGGACAAATGCTGGCCTGCTTGATGTCACCCTGGGCAGCCAGTGTGACAGCAATAAATCATTGCTGGTAAAAACTAAAGGCTCTGAGATAATACGGCAGTGCCTCAAAAATTTAGAAGAGAGTTACCACATGATCCAGCAGTTGCACTTCTGGATATATACCCAGAAGAACTGAAAGCAGGGTCTTGAACAGATATTTGAACACCCATATTCATAGCAGCGTTACTCATAGTAACCAGAAGGTGGAAGCAACCCAAGTGTCCATCAACAGATGAACGAATAAACAAAAGTGGTATATCCATACAATGGAATATTATTCAGCCCTAAAAAGGAAGGAAATCCTTACATAGGCTACAACATGGCTGAGCCTTTAAGACATTATGCTAAGTGAAATAATCCAGTCACAAAAAGACAAATACCGTATGATTCTACCTGTATGAGGTATCTAGAGTAGTCAATATCATAGACACAGAAAGTGATTGCTGGGTGAGGTAGAAATGGGGTGTTGTTGTTTAATGGGTACAAAGTTTTAGTTTTGCAAGATGCAAAGAATTCTGGAGATGGATAGCTGGGATGGGTGCACAGCAATATGAATATACGTAACACTCCTGGACTAGACACTTCCAAATGGTTAAGATGGTAAACTTTATGTTATGTCCATTTTACCACAACTAAAAAGAAAACTTACAAGAGTAAAGGCTCTGGGCGTAGGTGTTTAGTCTTATTCCTCCACTTACAAGCTGAGCCACTTTCAGAAAGTGGCTCAGCTTCTGTGACCCTCTCTTTCCTCGGCCTTTAACTGGGAATAATAACAGTACCTACCTCCTAAAACTTGTGTGAATATTGAATATGCTACTGCATATAATATACTTAGTACATTACCTAGCACATACTGTGTGTTTATTAAATGTAAGCTACTATCGCTGCCATTTGTAGATGGCAACAAAGACGAAAACTCATTCTCTCCATGCGTGAGACTTGTCTGAGGCCATGGTACTGGTGCCTTGTTCAGAATTCTCAGAACAGAGCCGAATGTAGCCCTTCTTTTCTCACTGGTCATTGCCCTCCTTTTGCTTCTTTGCCATGACAGCTTCCTGGGCCTCACTGAAAACAGCACGTGAAGGGAGATAATAGCAAACTGGGAAAGACAAAAATACCAACCTTCCATGAGCAACACATACCTTACCTCCCTTGATTTAATTACTGTCATTATTGTGAGATACTAGATAAGTACCTTGACAAAGAAATCGTTGTTATCTTTTCAGGTAGTCGGTTATTTTAAACACCAACCTGCTAGGATAGTCTGTATGTTGGTTTTCATTTTTGTAAACAGCTTATAGCTCCTAGGATATTGGCCTTCTGTTTTTAGCTTGCTTCAGAGTAAGTAAGCTTGCTTTTGTTTTTAGCTTGCTTCAGAGTAAGTAAGACCTTGCAAGGTCTTACTTACAGAATTAAAACTAAATCTACATAATGTTCAAAATATTCCATCAGATCAGAAAAAGGAAACTCATGAACTCACTGTTTGGAGATAAAACAACTGGGTATTCACTTATTGAACATGTATTTATCAAGTGCCTCCTTATAAGCACTAGGAAATTTGGAGCTCAGTCTGGTAAGGGAAGAGAAGTAGGAACATAAAGAAGCACAGTACCATATGGATCATGTTACATACCATAAAATATGTCCATGTGCTCTGAGGATTCAAAGGAAGGAGCTTCCTTTTAGCTGGGGAGGGAAGAGGAAGCAGGCCCTCGTCTTCAAGGGCTTAATTAAGCTCAGTGCCTAGTACAAAATAGGCACTTGGTACGTATTTGTTGAATTAGAAAATGCTTCATAGAAAAGGCGGAATTTGAACTAGATCTTGAAGGTCAGATGCGATTTGGATCTGTGAAGATAAGGAAGGGCATTCTAAGCAAAGGGAAGGCATGATAAAGGGCAGGGTAGTGAAAAGAGCAAGGGGACAAGGGGGGATGGGTTTGAATGAAGACTGAGATGCAGGAAAAGGAATCATAGGAGTTAAGCCTTGAAAGTTAAGTTGGAGCCAAATCATAGAAGCCCTTCAATGGTATTCTAAGGAATCTGGCCTATGTAAGTGTACAGTGGGAAGCCCTTGAAGTTCTGTGGGGCAGGAGAGTTAGGCGAATAAAGTTTATGCTTTAGAAGAGTGATCTGATCGCAAATGTCCAGAGTGAATTAAGGACAGAAGGTAAGACTGGATGCAGGGAGACTGACTGGGGAAATATCTCAAGCATCCAAGGCCAGAGGTGATGAGGGCCTACGTGAGATAGTGGCAGTGGGAATGGAGATTAGATTTAAATTCCAGAGATGTTTAGGTTATTGATTAGATGTTGGAGGAAAGGTTGAGGTCAGAGATGATTGCAGGCTTTGGATGCTATGTGGGTGGCCAAAAAGATGAGGGTATTATCTTTCAGGAGATGCATATTTCTGGGAGAAGATGCTGAGTTTCCTATTGGACAGTTTGAGTTCGAAGGTTTAGCAAGACTTCCAGATGGAACTAATTGATTAGGCTACTTGAGGAAGGCTGGGTTTCTATTGATTGAATGAACTGAATTTAGACCCTTAAGGTCAGGTTGGGTCACTTCTTTGGGGCTCAGTAACTTGGGGAATTGCATCTTGTGTTCTCCTTATGGTTCTAGGGGGAGATTGCACTTCACACTGCTTGTGCTTTTGTTGCATTAGAAACACTCCCAGTAGACCTAGCTATCCTACAGGATGTGATTTAATGGGATTGACTACCCCTTCTCGACATAGCCTGAACTGCTCACAAGTGTTGGTGTCTTCTGGTAGCCTGGGTGGGAATCAAAATAGAAACAATGTTATATTCACTAAATGTGTTAAACTAATGGCAATATAATTAATAATGAATTCAGCGATGCCTCTCATAGTCATACGAATCTGCTTCACTGCCCACTCATGATAGCTTCTTTGGTGTTAGTGTTATTAAACACTAAATACTGTTCAGGGATCTACTCTTCAATTTGAGGCTACTTTGAAATTTGTGTATATTTATTGTACTATCAAGAGTGAAGTAATGCATTGAGAATCCTGAGCTAGTATTTTGAGTGGAAGGTAACAGCAATAACATGAATATGCCGTGATTTGTGCCTAGAGAAACTGGGTATACGTGTGACAGATGACACTTTTTTTATTTACAGTACTGGCTTAATTTGTTCATCTACATTAGTGCTTTTTAAAAATTTCAGTATGCATTAGAATTGGCTGGATAGCCTGTTAAAATGCAGATTCTAGGGCTCCATTCCCAGAGTAGAATGGAGCCCTGAAATCTGTATTGTAATCAGGCAACCAAGAGGGGCTCTCAGGCCACACTTAGCATTATCTAAAGTCTCCAAAGTCCTTCTTCTTTCTTCGACCTTTAACAATTAAGCTCAAAGAAAGGAGAGTTTCCTAAGGTAGTTCCACTAGCTGGTGTATTCTCTAGAGCAGGGTTTACAACTTAGAGTCCATGAATGGGCTTCAGAAGACATATGAACTCTTGAAATTATATGTAAAAATATGTGTCTACCTGTATTTTTCTGGGGAGATAGGCCAAACCCTTTAGAATTGGAAATGAGTCCAAGACCCAATCAGGTTAAGAATAACCTGCCTAGCTCGACTGAATGTGTGACATAATGACTGTCAAAAATACTTAATTTCAAAAAGACAAAAAATTCCTTACTTGATATCCATCTGTCTCTATTTTTACAAGTTTAGACATACTAGACATAGTAATCCTCAGCCCGGAAGGAAGAGTGTAGCAACATTATAACTTTGACTCCCCCAAAGGCCATCAAAAAAAGCTGTTAATCAAGGAAAGCTAAGTTTATTATACTTACAGGAGCAAGAAAGAGCACTGCCAGTGTCTTAGAAACGGGATGTCAAGGGAGAATATCTATAGGGTTTTGGAGCACGGCTATGTGATTTTGAAGCAGGTCTCGCAAGACAAGAAAAGAGTTAGGATCGTGCAGTGTTTCTGATAAAGTAACTTTGGATTGGGGAATACAGCAAAGTGAGGGTCTTGAATAGAGTTTTGGTGAGCAAGCTGTTGTTATTCTTAATAAGTAAATTACTTCAGTTGGTTCAGTCTTATCTTCCAAGAACAAGTATTTCTTAAAGTGAGAAGCTAAGCTATTTTTGCTTGTTCTCAGTATTGTGTAACATAAGAACAGGAAAATATGCTCCATCTTGATATTGTTTAACACAGGGAAAAGAAAGTATGCCCAGCCCCAGTGTTATTTACACAGGGATGGAAAATCTGTGGAAAAAATACACAGGAGCAAGAAATTATGTTCATTTCAATTCTTAGTACCAAGGCCTGGTATCTATGTGTAATGCTGGGTAGTTAATGCTCCCTGGCCCAACCAACATCCAAAACATAATGTCCACTGAAGGTCACACATTCTTTCCAACCAACCAACCAACATGGCAGCATAGTGTTTGGTCCCAGATAAACAGACATGTATCTTCTTCCTGCCCTGTAAACCCTCAAAGGATGAAAATCTTCAGGTTTTCGAATAGTCCCTTAGTCCATCCTTAGAGACTGGAATGTCCCCCATATGATATTAGGGTAGTGAGGATAGTAATGAATGTTAAGAATCAGTCCGTGAAATTTTGCAGGTGGATCTTCTCTAGTAAATTAGCGAGAACTGAAATGTGCAAGGCTACCTCTTGGCCAGTAGGCACTGGTTGGTCTTTGTACCAGTTTAAGGGTTGGGCCACTTTTAGATCCTCATAGGCTGTGTATACACTCTCACTTATGGAGGACATGTGATGCATTGTATCAAATATATCAAGTATATTAAAGGGCCTCTATACCCCACTTTTAATTTTTGCTATAAAATTTTAAAAGTAATTTTTAAAATGTTAATTTTGAGATTATTTGATCATAAGTAGCACTTAATTTATGGTTAGGTGTAATTTCTTAGAAATCATTGTGAATACTCAAGAATTGTTGCTAAATAGAACAGCCTAACCTATAATTTGTTTTTTAATATAATGAAATTTCTATAAATACTAAATTTAAAGAACTAATTAATTAAGTTGACATATATTATACTTAACAGACATTTAATTAGACATTAACTGACAAATTTTATCATTTTCTTGTGGCATTTTGGAGCCGATGATTTATTTCTGAGTTCAAATATTTTCTTAGGCACACGTAAAGCTTATTATTCCTAGGCATGGTTCATATTGCCTGATGAATAAAATAGCATTGTTTGCCATATAGAAACGAGTCAATTTATATGCAGGTTCTGCCCATCTACCAAGGAACAGTGATTAGTTGCATCCTGGATCCCAGCTGGCATAAGATAGAGTAGAAGTTTCTGGAACAAAATAATATCAAAGCAAATACCATTAATCCAAAGGCAACTTCTCCCTGTGCCCTGAGGTGCCCTGAAGAATTAGTCTTTCACAAAAAGAAACTGATTTTTTATCTAGAAATATAACGTCATTAATATATGTTGCTATCCACGCAGCCACAACCCAATGTAATAGCCCAGCTGTTTTGGCTCAATTAAGAATAAATATGCTGTACACTTGAAACTAACACGACATTGTTAGTCAACTATACTCCAATATAAACTAAAAATTAAAAAAAATAGAAAAGCAATATCAAGTAAGCATATAAACTTCAATCTATAAACCACTCAGCGTATATATCAGGCAATCAAATATTCTTTCAAATTTATAAATTCTAAGTTGTCTTGTCACAGTATATAAATCTTGCTGGCTCCAATAAGATATATGGTTATACCTATTACACCACCGTAGGTTTATACATGATTATAGAAAATCCACAGTGAATTTAAATCACAGACTGAGGTCCTTTGATGTAATAGTCTATTAGTAGGCTGTCTGCATCTGCCTCAGGAACTTTGTCCTCGAGGAATGAAAATTCTTTCTAGTCTCCAGAGAAGATGTACAGATTGCCAACAAACACATAAAAGAATGCTCAACATCACTAATCATTAGAGAAGCGCAAATCAAAACTGAAATGAGATATCACCTCACACCAGTCAGAATGGCCACCATCAAAAAATCTAGAAACAATAAATGCTGGAGAGGGTGTGGAGAAAAGGGAACACTCTTGCACTGTTGGTGGGAATGTGAATTGATACAGCCACTATGGAGAACAGTATGGAGGTTCCTTAAAAAACTACAAATAGAACTACCATATGACCCAGCAATCCCACTACTGGGCATATACCCTGAGAAAACCATAATTCAAAAAGAGTCATGTACCAAAATGTTCATTGCATCTCTATTTACAATAGCCAGGACCTGGAAGCAACCTAAGTGTCCATCAACAGATGAATGGGTAAAGAAGATGTGGCACATATATACAATGGAATATTACTCAGCCATAAAAAGAAATGAAATTGAGTTATTTGTAGTGAGGTGGATGGACCTAGAGTCTGTCATACAGAGTGAAGTAAGTCAGAGAGAGAAAAACAAAGACCATATGCTAACACACATATAAGGAATCTAAGAAAAAAAATGGTTCTGAAGAACCTAGGGGCAGGACAGGAATAAAGATGCAGATGTAGAGAGTGGACTTGAGGACACAGGGAAGGAGAAGGGTAAGCTGGGACGAAGTGAGAGAGTGGCATGGACATATATACACTAACAAATGTGAAATAGATAGCTAGTGGGAAGCAGCCGCATAGCACAGGGAGATCAGCTCAGTGCTTTGTGTCCACCTAGAGGGGTGGGATAGGGATGGTGGGAGGGAGGGAGAGGCAAGAGGGAAGAGATATGGGGCTATATGTATATGCATAGCTGATTCACTTTGTTATAAAGCAGAAACTAACACACCATTGTAAAGCAATTATACACCAATAAAGATGTGAAAGAAAGAAAGAAAGAAAGAAAGAAAGAAAGAAAGAAAGAAAGAA